CCAGCTCTGAACAGCGTTTCCCTTCTAGGCTTTATAACCTCTTCAGTTCAATTATAGGGGCCCCCAAAAGCCTGGGGACTCCATTACTCCTAAATGAAACATCTTCAAAGACATTAATGCCACTTGTCTTCTGCAGGACCCTCATTCCAGGCAAGCCTGACATTTTGACAGATCCTCACACTCTTTTTCACCGAGGATATGCACCATTACACAAGGTTAATTTTTTTAGGATTGATAGAAAATCTCTTCCTCTAGGTAAACATAAGACAAACATCTACACACTGTGTGGAATTACATGTCAAGCCACTCGGTAAAACCAGCTTATCTGCCAGGAACAAGCCTGACAAATCCTTGGTAGAGATGTCTTTCTTTCCCCACTTTAAATTGCACACAGAGGCCTCAGAGTTCAGAGGGAGGAAGGGGGTTCCCATCATTGATCATCCCCATCCTGCCTGTGCTCCCGCCTCCCTGCCGAGCCAGCTGCCTTCGGAAAGGAGGATTTGGAAAAGATATCCAGAGGAAAGCCTTACAAAAAACAAAACAAAGCAAAACAAACATGACAGGGAGGTTGCTGACCTCCCCCGTCCTTCCTCCCTGCTGGGAGAGTGATGCTGTCTGCAAAAGGCACCTGTGGCAGAGGGTGCTCAGCTCCCCAGTGACAGTGGCCAGCAGAGCTTTGTCACTGCTCCTGCTCATTCCCCAGGAGGAAATTCAACTGAGGATGTTGCTCCTTACAGACCCGACCTACAAGCATTTGCTTTCTGGTTTGGAATACATTCCCCTCTCCCCCCAAGCTGAGGGGAGAAATCTCCCACAGTAAATCAAAGCCCACGGATGTCAGACAGTTTCTCTTCCTCTCCTTTTGCAATCCTTTAGTGCTTGATGCCCTGGGGGAGCCAAAGGTAGCAGGGAGAAAGCCCATGATCCCTTCAGGGTGGATTTTATTGCCTTTAGCTAATGAGTTCCACCTTGGAGAGGGAGAGTCTCCTTTCCAAGGGCCACAGGTCCTCTCTGAGCTTCACCTAGAATCTGCATGGACATTGCCATCCCACACTCAACATCCTGGACAAACAAATGATTAATTATCCCCAGGGAGCTGCCATCTGCCAGCCACTCGAGGATGGATGTGATTAACAGAACATCCCCCTGATCTCCACCAACTGCCAAGGCAAACGTGCTCTCTTCCAATGGTTTGTGCAACCAGCTTGTCACACACAACTACCAAATGTGGCTGCTGATCAGAAATTAGGCAGTCACCTGCTCCAGAGGGAGCCTCGGCCTGGCCAGCTGGATGGAGAAGGGGCAAGAGCGTGACACTCAAGAGATGATGTACTCAGAGGTGTGGGTGAAGTTCTGACATAGCTAAAACCCTACTCAAAGCCTTAAGGAAGGTTAAGTTTGCCCTCAAGCCCAGAGTAAAAGCTAAGTTGAGGAAGGAGAATGTAATTTCCAGCTGAGTTCCAGAGCCAGCTCTCAGCCCTTGGCTGATCACTGCTCTCCTGTGCCTCAGCATCCCCGAATGAGTCATCATGTTTGTTCCCATTTACTTCTCTATGTAGAAACCTTTGAGATTTGTATTTCAAAACCACTATGGGGGTAAAATCAGCGGCGAGACAGGCAGCAGAGCCCCAGCAGGAAAGGAGGATGCTCGGCTGGCTCCTCCCGCCCGCCCTGCTCGGCAGCGCCGATTGCCACAGCAACAGGACGGAGGAGAAAAGTGTTTCTCCAGAACGGATTCGGTTGCTTTTAAGTGGATGAACATGGGAGAGTTTGTTTATAAACGTCAGGAGCAGGTCGGTGTGAAATTGGAAGCGCGGAAGGAGTTTGGCTCGGGGATGGAGGATGGAACACCTGAGGGGACGGGACACCTGAGGGGACGGGACACCTGAGGGGAAGGGACACCTGAGGGGACGGGACACCTGAGGGGAAGGGACACCTGAGGGGACGGGACACCTGAGGGGAAGGGACACCTGAGGGGACGGGACGCCTGAGGGGAAGGGACGCCTGAGGGGAAGGGACGCCTGAGGGGAAGGGACGCCTGAGGGGAAGGGACGCCTGAGGGGAAGGGACGCCTGAGGGGAAGGGACGCCTGAGGGGAAGGGACGCCTGAGGGGAAGGGACGCCTGAGGGGAAGGGACACCTGAGGGGAAGGGACACCTGAGGGGAAGGGACACCTGAGGGAACGGGACACCTGAGGGGACGGGACACCTGAGGGGGCGGGGGACCTGAGGGGGAACACCTGAGGGGACTGGACACCTGAGGGGATGGGACACCTGAGGGGACGGGACGCCTGAGGGGACGGGACACCTGAGGGGACGGGACACCTGAGGGGAAGGGACACCTGAGGGGAAGGGACGCCTGAGGGGAAGGGACGCCTGAGGGGACAGGACACCTGAGGCAGGTGTGGATCGGAGCCCTGCGGGGTCTCAGCGCTCAGGGAACCCTGTCACTAATGCACACAGAGCTGTGCCTGCTCACTCCCTCTGTCCCCAAACGCCACCACAGGGCAGAGCTACTGTGATGTGCCTTCCCAAAATGAGACCCCAGGCCTGGAGTCCCAGCCCAGTCAGGCGAGCCGTGTAAGCGGACAGGAGCAGGGACAGGGAGGTCAGCAGGAGCCTGTGCTCCGCCCCAAAGCCATCGGAGAGGTCATTAAAGCCGGTAATGGCGTGCTGCCGCCGATTTTCGTTTGTGACAGCGCCCCAGGGACTGGAGCTCTGGCTGGAGCACTGAGGGACACCTCAGCCCAGCTGTGCCGGGGGCGAGCAGGCAGCACATCAAGAACACAGAAGGTGAAAATCCCGATTTTCGATGAACAGGGAGGCTCTCCATGTGCTCTGATGACGATGATGATGATGGCTGGGTTAAGCTTCCAGGAGCAAAGCTCACCCTCACGGCCTGCCTTCCAGCAGGACCTCGGGACATGTCTGCTCCCAAAGGAGACCGTGGGGGAAGCAGGGTGAGAGCCAAAGCAGCCCTTTGAACAGTCCATTTTTGAGATTGTCCCTTTGCAGCACACTCAGCTCGCTGAGGGAACAAGTGACAGGCAGGGTGGAGGGCTGGGACACGTCCAGGTCAGTGACAAGCCACGTACCCAGAGCCTGCCTGGCCCTGCAGCACATTCCCCTTCACCTGAGACACCACATCCATCCAACCAGTACTTGGTAATAAACGGCTGCAGAAGCAGTGAAAAGGTTCACCAGGACACATTAATTAAATGTAGCAATGCCCCAGAATTTACGTGGATCTGCAGCAGCACCATCGAGCAGGGTGTGTAACACGGCACGGTTGGGTGGCTGAAGGAGAGGCCTCGTGCCTCTGCTCGGCTGGCTGGCTGGCTGCAGCCATTAATTACATCCCCATTAGGCAGGCAGAAAATGCTCCCACCAGCAGCACCTTCCTGCTCTGTCATTCAGGCCAGGAACATGACAGATAGAGCAGAGCTGAGGCATAATCGAGATGGAGCACCTGCCAGGCAGGATGGATGGGGAGGAACCCCTCTGCTCCGAGGCTGTGTGGGTTATTGATACCTTTGCTTGGGTGACAAGATAAAGAGGCACTGCAGGCCTCAGGAAGGCCACAACCCGTGTTTGAGGCTGTTCACATCCATTTCAAGGCACGTGGATGAGATCCCCCCAGGGAATCAGCAGTGGGGAGCAGAGGCTGGCATGAGCCACCCCAGCACATCCAACTGCATCCCTATGGGATTTCAGAGCAAACAAAACCTTCGACTCCTCTGAGAAAGCCAGATCTGCGCTGAGAGGTGCCCAGCCCTGCTCACTGCTCCAGAGACTCCTCACTGCACTGCTGAGACCCTGGCACAGATTCCCAGGGAAGCTGTGGCTGCTTTCCTGGCAGTGTCCAAGGCCAGGTGGGACACTGGGGCTTGGAGCACCCTGGGATAGTGGAAGGTGTCCCTGCCCATGGCCGGAGGTGGAAGATGATCTTTAAAATCTCTTCCAACCCAAAACCGTTCTGTGATTCTATGATTCCCTCCAAGAACAGTCCAGGATCTGCTTTCCACACCCCACCTGCCTTGCCCAGTCACACCACAGAGGCAGCCCAGGTATGAGAGCACAAAACCTGCAGCTTTGCAGCCCAAAATATCTGCTAAATACTCCACAGCACCTGGACATGGCAAGCAAGCACCTGTGTCTACTCAGATGGATGAAATCCTCCAGGAGCAAAGCCCTGCTGTGACAGAGCCACTCACTGGATTGCCACCAATTGTCCCTTCCTTGGAACAGACAAGGGTTTGTCCTCTTCAGGGGACAGACATTGCATTTCTGTATTTCACCCAGATTTTCAAAGCTCTTCCCCAAATTGTTATTTCAGTGGAAGAGGAAAAAAATCCATAGTTTTGAATTCTCTCAGGGAAGAGCAAGACCAAGAGGCTGAGGCAGGGCTGCTAACAACCCTGCCATGTTTTATTTCCCTTTCCTAGACTGCAAAACCCCAGGCTTGGTCCAAAATGAGACCTAATCAATATTCTAATGCTGAGATCCCATTACAGACTGAGCATCCCTGGGTCCCAGGTTCCGGGTCAAACTCTGCTTCATGTCTTGAACCAATTGTTTTAGCAATTCCCAATCTCAATGGATGAGATTTTTACCACCCCAGAAATCCTTCCCAGCAGAATCTTTGCCTCCTGCTTTTCTACTCATTTTGTGCAACTGCTTTACATGATTTAGCATCATCAGTATTCAGAGCCTTCCCCATTACGTGATGCCTCATGATGTGTGAGGTTTGGAATGTTTCTTCTCTAATCACATCAGAAAAAAGATATTCCTGTGGCCATTAGGCAGTGTTGGTAAATTTTAGATCAGGGGCAAAAGGCTATTTCTTCCCCAAAATGAGTAATTTTTCAGTGTTAACAGGAACTTGACATGATCAGCAGCTGCCTTCAACTGTGTGACAGAAATCAATCTTTTATCCAACACTCTGAAAAAATAAATAAGTTTAAAGCCCAAAAAAACAACAAAGAAACCCCCTTGACTTACCTGATCATTTAATGATGGAAGCAGACATCCATGTGTCCTGAGCCTGTCCTCCAAACCTATGCCAGCCAGTGCCACCAGTCTGTTCACTTAAAAACCCTTCAGTCACCACTTCCAAACAGGACTGAAACCACCAAGCAGAAACCTTGACTGAAGATGCCAATTTTTCCCCTGGATTTGCATTTGTATTTATTTTTTGTTAAAGCTTGTTAGCTGTCATGACCTGGGCTGGCCATTAAACCTGCAGAGGTCTGCAGGCAGTGACCACCCTCCAAAGAATCCTAAATTCAATAAAAATAAGGAGCCTTAATAAAGTGAAATGAAAAATGTACATTTCATCATTATTCTGCCTTTTTTCCTCCCCCCTCTCAGGATTCAGGGCAGAACATGGGGATGCAAATTAGAACTAAATGAAAAATGACAAAGCTACCTGAGGCATCCAGAGAACTGATAGCTTTCAAATGTGAGATTGATGGAATAAATCAGCAGCTGCTTCCCGTGGGTTACAGCTCTCAGTTCCAAAGCCCTACAAATGCCTGGCTTTGCTCAGAGCATTGCTATTTTAGAACCAAAGGCTTAAGTAACTCTTCCTGTGCTGCTGTTCAGCATTCTAATTATGTGAGGGGAGTTGAGACACCCATCCTGTTGAGATATACACCATGGAGAATATTTAGCATTTCTGTTGTCACCTAAATGTTGTTTTAATGTTGGTCCCAAGGCTTATTTAAGCCACTTTTCCCCCTCCTGCTTATTTATTAGCATCACATTGGAGGGACAATATAAAAACCCCAAATATTTTGGGGAGGTTTTGGTTTTCATAAACCCAAGCTGTTCTTCATGGCTATTTAAAAATCAAAATCAATGTATTACAGAAAGGCATTCTTGCTTAAAAAGGAGGAATCTAAATAAACAGAATTACCCCACTGTAAAGTGATAGGCACTTAAGTATTATGAGATATTTTGGCATCCCCAAAGTTTGAGCTGATGTTAAATATTAAAGGGGTTTCCCACATTCAGCAAAACATTACAATAGTATAATTTTTTAACTGTATGAAATTTGAGGTTTCAGTGATGACAGGTTTTCAGTAAATCATAGAAAAACAGAAATGTGCATTCTTTTGTTTTCTAAATACTTCACTGTGTATTAAATTCTTAGCTTTAGAATTGGGCAAACTAAAAATAGTAAAAGCAAACCTGAAGACAGCCATTCAGAATTTCTGATTATTTCAGTGTTTGCTTCTGTGGAACAAGAACACAAATGCTGCTTTTCCTTTTTTCTGAAGGAGGAAGAACATCAGTTATCCACAAAGCTATTTCTTGCTCTTTTAGCCTTTATTTTCTTTAAGTTCCCCAGAAATTTACAAAAAACAAGGCAAGCAATTAAGGTTTCTGTCATTAAATCCCTTTGTCTCTTTATAAAATTCCAGGCAGAGCACATAAACTAAAAAAGTCAATTTTGTGTATTAGCATTTGTCCTTGGAAAAAGCCTCTTTGGAAACCTTTCTGTTGGGAATGATGTCAAAAAACCCCTGGAAGTTTGCTCCCTGATCTGGCTTCTTTCCATTGGAACATCTAACGGCTGGGGGGAATGTCTTTTTTATTTTGCACGTATCAACATCACAGTCCATTTCTCAAGGCAATATAAAAAAAAAGTGCTTAATATGACTCAGCCAACTGCAATTTAACCCTCAATAAAAGTCTATTTTTGGCAGAAGGTTCACCTTTCTTTAAAATTACTGTGATGACGAGTTAAAGCCATTTCCTAAATTTGCTTTGAATGCTGTTCATAATGAGGATTAAATTGTTTCATACCTGCAGCAAAGCTGTTTCTGTGCAGAGGGTTGGGATCCTTCAAGACTGATGATAAGCAGGCAAAGAGCAGACAGAAAAGCCAATTTTCTCCTAGAATTCAAACAAGACCTTGTCCATCTCCTTGAGTAACTTGTCTCTATTTTCCCAACCCGTGGCAGGAAATCTTCAGTTCTACAGCTGATGTCTCAACTCTTGATCTCCACATGCCTCATCCTCACCACAGAACTACTTGTGCATCCTTTTAGGATTAAAAAAAAAATGCACTTGCTTCCCTAAGTGCACAGCAAGGCACTGCACTTTATCACTTGCAGCCTCACAAATGGCTCAGGCCATTATAGAACAGCCTGCCAGGGTAAAAAATCCAGGATACAATATTCATGTACTCTGTGAGACACAGCTACACTTTATGGTGATCGACAGAGGCAAGGCAGACTTTCGTTTCATTAAGAAACTGAGGATGAAGCAGCCTATAAACAAAATTCCTTCAGTGTAGCAGTTACGTTTGAGCCATTTACAGCAGTACAACCCCTACTCAGGGCTGCCAAAAGCAGAAATTACCAGTTCAAAGGCTGACCCAGGGGCACTGGGGAAACTGGCAAGGAATTCTGACAGAAGGACGTTGTACAAACCTCACACATCCCTCCTGGAGGCATAAGATTGGTGTGGAAGAGTTTGAGATCAAGGTTTGCCAAGTTGTACAAACCTCACACATCCCTCCTAGGGGGAATAAGATTGGTGTGGAAGAGTTTGAGATCAAGGTTTGCCAACTTCCATGAGGAATCAGTGCCCTGATTGACCATGGGTTCATGGAGCCCTTCTCCCGTCCCACACACACTGAAATCCCAAACCACACTTCTAAGACCCCCCAAAATTTCCCCAAAACAGGGAACACCACAGCAGCAGATGGCTGCTGGCAAAGCATCTCCCCAACACTGAGCACAAGCCACCAGCAATTCCCACAAATATATGTATTGATGAAGTGATACAGACAGGAAATAAATCCTGCTACTTCCTTAGCACTTTTTATTATTAGAACGATGTTCATTTAAAGACTCAGTGACAAATCCTGTCTGGTACATCATCACCTTATCAAAAACCTGTGACATGTGCAGAGAATGTTAAGTTATATTAAGTAAGCTGTTAACTTGACAAAATCCAGCCTGCTGCGTTTGGCTGCCTAAGCTGCAGCAGAGATGGCACATTGTCAAGGGTGGGAAACACCCTCTCCTCCCCAGCCAAAGCTCCAGATCCTCAAAACTCAGCAAAAATCAAGTCAGGTGTCTCAGTCACATCAGGAGCTCAGCCATCACACTCCTCTCCAGACCCACGTACAGGCAGCAGTTTTTGGGATGTGACTGCCACCCAACTGCAGGAAAGGAACGGGCACAGCCATTGCAACTCCCTTCCCTGGACTCCAATTATCCACAACCAAAGAAAGACTGGATGGATGCTAACAGGAAGGCAGCTCAAAAGCAAAACCAGAAGATGCCTCAAAGTGAGAGAGATTGAGAAAGACAGAATTTACAGCTTTTTGACTAGTAATCAAAAGGAGCACTAAGTTGTTCTGCACAGAAGGTAGAGGTGTGACAGCACTGCCAGGGCACCAGGTGGCCCCTGCCAAGGCAGTCATGCTGATAACTGGTGCTTCCAGTTATCAGCAAATGACTGGGAATAATAAAGGAATGCCAGAGGCAAATCTTTAAACACCTAGGGAGCACCTTAATGTCATTATTTGGACATTTTCACTTGTGCTGCAGGAGGCTAAGTGTAGAAACCCAGCGCTACCTCCAGCAATCAAAACAGCCTTCAAGAGGAGCTCTTTGCAGAACATCTCAGGGAATGAAGGTTCCAGCTAACAGCATGTCCACTTCCTGGATCCTTGGGAGGATACTACAGATCTCCTGTCAGCAGGATCCCACCATAACCTGTGATTTTGAGCATCAGTGGGAAAAGTGAAATTCGTCGTTTGCCTCTTTACATCTCTGAGTGGTTATAGACACACACAGAGTTCACACAGCCTTGCTATCTGCAAGATCCAGGTAATTATTCCTTTAATTTAGTCATCCACCTATCCCAGCTAATTATATCAGCAAACAGACATACTCTGCTTGTTTATTGAAGGGTTTTTTAATGTGAAGAGAAACGGAAGCTTCTGACTAACCACGCGTGACTCTGAGCTACATTAAAATCACTGTATTTCAGCAGTTTCTGAGCTGTTCACACCATCCTAAAAAAGTCTCCAGTCTTTCAACAGTCCATCCAATAAATGATGTTGTGTACCAGGTATTCTGGAGGCATCTCAGCTGCAGCTGAAACCTGGCAGGATTCATCGTTTGCCCAAAATCCTGAGCATTGCAGGGAAACAAGGCCAAAAAGCACAAATAACCTCAGGTCTTGACAAGCAAAGCTTCTTCCACTGGTCAGACTCCCAACAGAAACATGATGATGATGTTTTTGACACACAAGTCTCATCTGTGCACCACGAAACAACAACAAAAAGGAAGATGATGCCAAGTCTTCTCAAACAGTCACCCAAAATACAAAGAGAGCGTACAGAAGCTTGATGCAAAATCCAGAAATAGTCCAGGGCAGTGCTTGGGCATCACTAAAGGTTTAAGGACTACTGGGGATTATGTGGCCAGCCACAAAGTGTCTCGTCAGAGGTCAGGACTGTTCCCTGCTGCTGGGAGGAGTGAGCAGCCTGTGAGCCCCTGGCAGAAGATTGGTGATCTGACAGAAACCAGGGCAGGGCAGAGTCAGGTGGCCGAGCGCCGGCGGATCACAAACACGCCCCGCTGCAGCTGCCCCAGGTAGATCCTCATCTTGGTGCTGTCGCTGGTTTTCCTCACCCAGATCTGCAGGAGAGGAAGGGCAAAAGAATGGGGAGGGAGATGAATTAGGGGAGAAAAAGGGAAAACTCACAGCAAGCAGCACACAGACAAATTAACTCAGTGTCTTAGGGTCGGAGATGAACACCTCAGGGGGCACAGATCAACGAGGTTAATCCCCTCTTCCTCCCCACGTGAGGCATTTGCAACCTGAGTAGAAAATGAAATAAGGTGTCTAACTTCACCTCCTTAACTTCCTGCTCAAAACAGTCCTCGAGAAAAATGACTCTTTCAAGCACCATCAGGAAAGCAGGTTCCTCCTGTGACAGCTCACAACAGAGCTGTGGCACTGAGCTCTGCCTAATCAAGACTAAGTCTCTCTAGATCCACAGATCATAAAATTATCTATCCTGGGATTTGCCCAGACAAGTAACTATTAGTCAAATGAAAAGCTTATTTTGATTCTGTTACATGAAGCATTTCCCACAATGTACCACAGAAATTGTGTCTGGAGATAAAAGGGCTCTCTTTGAACACCTGCACGGAAGGATTCACACCACGTGCCACAAGACAAATTGCTGCCACCAAGGCAGCACTCCAGGGAGTTTTTGAAATCACCTTCAAGGTGTTTAGATCTAAAAACCTGTACTTTAAAAATCAAGTCTGAGCAATTTCCTCTGCATTATATCCTTCTAATGCATTTCAACATATTTAGATAAATACACTGAGTGAGAATTATCCACTCCTTAGTACTGCAATATTTTAGGAGGGAAGTTCAAGATTTCCTAATCAAAGGATGATAAAGTTATGTTGGCCTGTGATTTACCCTAAACTTTTTTTTTCTTCATATATTAGTTACAGGCCTGGCAAGTAAACTGATTTAACTCTATTATTTTAGTTATAAATTGACTTTATTAACAGGATCCCTTAATATAAAATGAATTTAGTATTTGCCTGGATTTCTACTTCAATTATTTCTCCAGAGAAATTAAAATCAACATTCATTGATAATCACCTCCCAACTGCAACATTTACAAGGATTTGGCATATTTTGCTTGCCAAAATAATTCAAAAATCCATAAACTTTGAGCAACTGTAGGAAACAAAGATGTATAATTTCATATTCTACCACAGTACGATGGAATGATACATTAGTTTTGCTAAATTACAATAGTAACTTTTAACAAATTTTAATGCACCCATAAGCACACTACCACTGCTTTAATCTGAACAACTGAGTGCCACAACTGCCACTGCAAAGGAACAGCTGTGACACAAACAGATCCCACGTGCAACTCATTCTGGGGAAAATAAAGTGTTTTCCCTTAGCTGCCACAACAAATTAAAGTTCCTTTATTGGCTGATTAAGAAGAAGTGCACTCAAATCTATTATTGCTTTCCCTGAAGTGTCTGGAATCTGCAAGCAAAGAACAAAGTGCTCCCTATGCCCAACTGCTGCAGGAGCTTGCAAAACACAGGATCATCCTTCAGAAACAATGCAAGTCTCTTCCCATCTCAAAAAGAGATTTCTCAAGTCAGTTTTATCTTGGCTTCAGCCTTCTTTACACCCCAGACAGGTATCTATCTTCAGCCCTTACTAAACCCAAGTCTCTCCCCCCTCTGATGATGAATAAAAGCAGCCACAACCTCGTTGGCACCCACAGAACTGATCACACAGCTGATCTTGGTGTTCTCTTTAGACTCCAGGTAAATAGCTTGGCTCTTGTGGTACCTGCAAAAAGGAAAAAAAAAGTTAAAAAAAAAAGGAAATGCATGAATCCATTATTAATAAAGCTGGACAGAGTAAATTTGAAGTCTGCCTTTCTTCCCACACCACTTTCTCCATCTTCGCAAGATAGTGAGTGACCTGATCACACACACCCCCAGCATGAATGATATCTGAAATGCAGGAGGGTCTTAACTCACATTCAACTCTGCACTGAAGGTTACAGAAAACAGATTTCACAACTGCAAGAGGGAGAGCCCCAGCCACAGCCCAGGGGAACAGTGACTGACAACACACCCAGGCTTCAAGGGTTAATCCAAGCAGCCTTTCCCATTTCAGACCCAGGATGGATTTCAAAAGGCAACTCCTTATTTTGCCTGACAAAATATGAGAGCAAATCACAGATACTCAAGCAGTTCTCCAATACAGAATTACTAGAGCACCATCACCACCACAAGTGAATTACCCTCAATCAGTGCAGTCTGTACGTTGTTTAATGAGACCTCCAATTTCTAATGCTGCCCTATTGTGTGAAAATACCCACAATGGTAACTAAGGGGTAACTGACTCTGTAATGAGCTGTAAATATCTGCCATATGGAGTCCATGACTAAACATATCCATTTCATCCTATTTTAGATCATATTTTAAGCTCTATATTGTTCTTAATGTGTTGTGTATAAAACAAAGACTTTGAAATTCCTAACTCTGAATTTCATTCCGTGGACTCTTCTCTTTCACAGCCCACATTTCTCCAAGTGCTGCAGTGTGCCAGCCCCAAACCCCCACTTTCTGTTCATTCTGCCTCATTCTCTTCCACAGGCAGAACTAATTACACTGGAACAGGTGATTTGTAAGTAAATCATCTTAATCAAGCAAGCACCAAAATACTTTACAGCTATAAAAGCATGACTGTATTTCCACCTTTCCCCTAATCATGATTTTATCTGGGCAATCCAAGCTGCAGAATCCCTGCACAGATATTCCCTCAGTAGCTACCCAGTGCAACCCCCTGCAGCCTGACTGCCAATTGCAAAAAACATGGATTTATTGCAACTTTCCAGTTATTTCTACAACAACCATACTGCACATGTGGAAGTTTTCCAATGGTTTATTCCACAATCTCTTCCTACTGGAAAATTCTGCACTCAGAATTTTCACAGTGCTTGCCAGTAGCTGGAATGAGTGTCAGCTTTAAGCCTTCCAAACTCATTACCCACGGGGGGTGAGGGAATAAAAAAACCCAAATCCTGTAACCTTTAAAACAATGGTTGGACACAGGTGTCTTTCTCCTTCATTTTGACAGAAATAATGTCAGCGGGTTCCAGGGCAATGCAAAGCAACAATGATCTGAGCCAAAAAAAATAAAAATCTCAGTTTAGCAAGTCCAGATGTCATTAAATGATACAGAGGAACTCAATAAGCTGCTGCAAACCCCAGGCCTCACTGAGATGAGACAAGAATCTCAGTCCAGCAGTGCCCTACCATGCCATGCTGGGAGTACTTAAGGAACAGTTCTGATCTTGATACAAGCAGCAGGAGTGCAGGAGAAGCCAGTGCAAACAACAGCTCTCCAGTGTTAGCTGTGCCCACACAGACAAGGATGTATTTCCCCCCACTTTCAATTTTTGATTACCAGTGAATTCCAAAGCTGATGACACGCGTGTCAGAGGCTTCATTCAGCCCTTGGATTTCACACCATGAATGACTATCCCTCAGTAAATTAATGCTAACTGTGCCCAGAAAAGGCAAAGAGCCAAGTCAGCAGTGTCTCACTGAAAAGCTGTCTCACCTGTCTCACACTCACAGAGACAGGGCAGCTGGAGGCACAGCACCCTGCTGCATCAGTTCCCTGGTCATGTCTCACCCTTTTGCCAAGTTCATATATCCAGAGAGGGACAGGATTGAGGAAATTACCTCAGATGAAAAATGCAATGGCTTTTTAAGTTGGTTTTCAAGAAAGCAGAGCCAAACAACTCTCACTGTTGCAGTAGGTAAAACACACCAAGTGAGGCAAGCAGAAATAATTCTATTTCCTGCTTTAAAATATTTTACTCAAAGGCCAGGATTTCCAAGTGCAACTCTATCAGAAGATTGAAAGAAATCCCTCTGCATTATTGCATGCAGCAAAGCTAAGAGCAAAAAGATGGTTGCTTTACAGTGAACTGTGGTTTAGGATTTGATGGGGGAGCAGAGAGCCCTGAGGATTAAAAAACTGAGTCTAATTCCACATTCACCTGAAACACTCCACTCTGGAGATGTCTGAAATGTCTCTGCAAGACTTCAGGGGGTTCATTACTGTCATTAAACATTCCCTGTTTTCATGTTATTGTCATGCAGAGCTGTATCAGGAAACAGAGAAAGTCATTCCTGGGCTGTCAGGTTTAGGATTTCTGTGCATGCCAGCATTCTTTATGCACCTTAGGAAGAATTACCCTCCCACTACCAACAGTAAATTCATTATTTTAAAACACCAGCTACTTTGCACAAGTACTATTACTTATTATCAATCAAAAAAATCTGAGCAGGATTATTACAACAAAAAAAAATAAAGATACTGATCTTAAAACAGCATAAGAACAAGGCAGCCAGGAAAGACAACAGCTGGAATTCCTGACAGCAAGACCCCCATGACAAGCAAATTCAGCAAGGTGAAAATATCTGTTAAGTGCTTTATGCCACAGCTAGATACCCTTCAGAGAGAGCTGGTGCTTTGCTGAGGTTCTGGGCTCACTGAAGCTCTTGCAGGTTTACATTTAATGGGAAGTTTTGAGCTTTACTGACAGATTACTTCAGATGCCTTTTTTTCCCTTTTTTTACTCATGAACACTTTTCAAGTATTCCATATGCTTCAAAATTCTGAAGAGTTTATTCATCCAAATATATCCTGGGGATAGTCACTTTACACACACACAAAAAATTATAAAAGGAAAAAAAAACCGAAAAACCTTGATGAATCTGTGGAATAAGTCGCCTGTTCAGTTCCTATCTGCTTTACACTTCATGAATGTTTAAACTGAGGGAGCAGCTTTTATGAGAGCTGTGTACACTGAACTCTCAATTAAACTTCAGGCAGAAAGAAAAACTGACCAACTGGCCAAGGGGGTTGCTGTGTAAAAAAACCAGCTTCACATCTACTTCTGTGACAAAATTACAGCCTCATCACTTGTTTTGAGCCACCAGAACACTGAAGTAGGCTACAAACAAGCAGATGACTTTTTGAGAGCAAATTGTTTTCTGCTCAAGTTTCAGATTGCCCCCTTGATTATCCAAGTTTGCAAGTCTCATGGATTAAGTTTAAGATCTAAGTTTCCTCTGCAGAATTCAATATTTTCCTTGTGTTTTGTGAGGCTTGTACAGCTGTATGGCCATAAAACTCAACAGAGATAAATCCAATCAGCAATTCTGAAGTTGCCTCTCCCAGGTGGGTTTGATCTTTAAAGGTTATTTGGATTTATTAGAAGCATCTTTCATCCTGAGCAGCTGGTGGATGACATTTCTTCTGCCACCTTGTGGAATGCTGGGCACAAATCTGAACCTCAGAAATGAGAGTGTTGCTGACAGCAAATCATGGAGTGTCTGTGTCCAGGCTGGGCAGCTTCAGTCACATCCCACTGTGGCTGCTGCTGCCTCTCCTATCTCTTATTAGGTTTGACTTCCTAAGAGCCACAGTGGGCCACGGAAAAGATTCAAGTCTCCTTTTATTGGAGCCACCAGTTATCTCTGCAAGCCTGCAGGGTGTGAACATTCCATCATCCCCTCTGCTTTACTGCACCCATGATGAGCTTGTGGAGGGAGCAGCAAACCTCTGCCCTAAAGCATTTTGTCCACCAATTCTTTGCTCAAAGCCCTTTCTCTCTGCAGCCTCTGCCTCTTCACTACACAACACACACTGATGGAAACAAAACCTCCCCAGGCCTCACCATCTCTTGTCATAGTAGAGTTTGCCATCTTCTATCCGAGCTTCAAATCGCTGTGCTGGAGACTCTGCTGGTGTAGCTGGGAGGTGCTCGGGAGAGGAGGGGGAGGCTGGGGACAGCAGAGACACTCTGGTTAAAGACCAGCACATCTGACTGCAAAACTGCAGCTAAAAAGGTTGTGTATGCAGAAATAGCAAGCAGAGAAAGCTGCAAATGCAAATATCCATCAGGGAAATATTATGTATTGTGATGAGTAACTTGACCTCTGCTTGAATTAAAATATTCACTGAAATACAGCATTTATGTGAAAAAACATACTCACATGGGTAAGTGATGGACAGTTTGTCCTTGATTTTGTTTTAGTTATAATCTACAGTTAATTAGTTAAAATACTGTTAAAATTATTGAGGCAAGTTAGTCCCACTTTGTCTTGAAATAAAGTGTGTAAGTACATCTAGAGAGCTGAAGGCATAAAACCATAAGTGGTCAACCCGTGAATGGAGCTGACAAGCAGAAAAGGTGCCCAGATCACCTGAATATAATGGAAAATCTCTACTCCCAGCTGGATTGCCCCATGCCCAAGTGTTTCAGCCACCAAGGATGCTCATGCCCCCCTTCCCATCCCTGACAAACACCAACACCACACAAAGAACAGCAATTGCACAGCCAGACAACTGCAGCACCATTCCCTGCTCAGAACAGCACCCCATGAACAAGTTCCACTCCATCTGGAACTCACCTGGTCTCTTGGGTGATTTGAGCTACATGGGAAGAGAGCAAAGCAGTGTTAGAGATCTGACAGGAGCCACAGAAGCTGCACTGATAACTTCACATATCTTACTTTCCACACTCTGAGTATTTCTAATTTAAATGCTCTGTTAAGTGACATAACACACAACCAGTGGGCTCTAAACAGCCAAAGGTGCAGATAATCAGTATAATGATCCAAAAGGCCAAAGAAACCTGAACTTGAGAGCATTCAGAAACCCACTCCAATGAGTGAAACCCATCTAACACACCATTTCTGAATGTGATACATTTCCCAGGGCACACAAAATACAGGAGCTAAATCATTAAAGAAACCTCAAAAGCTGGCACAAAACCAGCGTTCCACTACCATCCTCAAAATGCCTTAATGAGCAGCTTATATTTTAAGAAATTAGATAAGCCTTCAAGTGTTCAGGAAGAAAACAATATATTAATCAAAACCAGAAAAGCTACAAACATGCACACTGCCCCCTATCCAGCTTGCTGAAATCTTGTGACAGCAGGGAGAAAAAAAAATAATAAAAAGTCCTAGCCTACAGTAAGGCTTAAACCAAAGGCAGCCTGTGATCTCCCAGAAAACACACTGACATCTGCTCAACCATGAGGAAGAAACTCCTGAACATAGCTCATCCCTTGGCTCACACAAAAGGTAACATTTTTAGATGACAGTCATTCAAATTAGGTTAATTAAACTTCAATGAAAAAGAGGCGATACCATCTTGCTAAATCTTTTCTTGTGCTACTTCAGAAAGCCTATGGGGATGAAATAGTCCCACATCTCAAAAATGAACATTAAAGAAAGCTCTGTTCTCTTCAGGAGAAAGCATTTACCTTCTCTTGAAAATGAAGAAATACAGTCAAGCAACAATCCCTACCTTATTCAGCGTTCTTAGGTCCTCCATTATTTGCTCATCAGTCAACAAATAATTTAGCTGAGGTAGCCAGAATTAAGGTTTCCATAAACTCTTGACAAGCAAGGCTAAAAATTAAAGGTCAATGACATTTCACTTGAGTAAATGTAAGCCAAAGGTTTCCAGGATTTTAATAAACGTCTTACTTGAGCTGTTTTTTTTGTCAGAGGAATTAATACAAGTCCATCCCCACCATCTTAGCAGCAGAGTGCAAAATCATTTTAACTTATTCAGACACAACCATCAATGAAAAACCTTTAGAGCACTGACATTTACTTCATGGAAGCATCAAGCACCAGCATTTTCAGAGTTTTTCATCTTGTATTTCTGTGGAGAAGAATCTGTGAGCTGAAACAACAGACTCAATTCAGGTTTTCTACAATGAAGCTAAATCCCACCTAAACCTAGTTAAATAAAACTCTGTGTGGTTGGGGATAAATAAGGGCCTACAATGCACCTGCAAAAACCTCAAAACCTTTGAAAATAGAAATTACTGTATTACAGTCTTATTAGAGCTCTGCTGTACTTTTGTTTCTTCATAACAAGTGTTTAGCCAGAAGTATTCCAAGTATTACACTAAAGTTACCAATTGCTGGGCTACATTTCAAGGATTTTGGTTTTGATGGACTTTAATCCTCTCCCAGTGAGCAAAGGCAGAGATTTTCACTGTGTGGTTGCTGTATCATGCTCAATTAGCAGGTCATGTTCACTATGAAACTCATTTATTTTGGATGAGATAGGGGCACTAATAAATGACTTTTTTTTTTCCTGAAAGAGGGAACAGAATCTCCAACCAGAAAGAGGTTAATTGAAACTGGAGATGCTCATGACCATCCTGCATGAACTCTAAAAGTTCAAGGTTTGATATTGCCTTCAGAAAATGAGAGTCACTCAGATAAGTTTTTTTAATCTAAGACATACAGATTTAGAATCTAATAAGAAGCCCCTGCAAAGCAAATATCCTTGCCTTCCTCTCCAGGTGAATTTAATACACAAATAGAAAAAGTGCCTATCATCACAGAGGAGCTAAAAACATATTTCCAGAAGCCAAGGAACATTTTGAGACATGCAGCAAGGCAGATCCTAAGGATTACACAGACATGTTTTTCTGTCTCTTGTGATACATGAAAACAAGATGAATCTTCATCTTTTCTTATTCAAAGAACAAATCTAGCATCCTTGCTTTTGCTATGCATCTCTGGATTAGAGATCTGAAGCTTTTACCAGAAATGGAAAAATTATTTTGATATGACAAATATGATCTTTCTGGTAAATGCTTTGTCACGTCTTGAAATGAGAAAAGCTCTGGCTCATGCAAAAAGCCATTTACTATCTATGGAATCAATTATCTCAGCATATATATATATCTAATGTTCTTTTAAAGTTTTTCTTTTGTGAAATAAATTGCCTGCAGCACTCAAACTATTCTCACTGACAAAAAAAGGTATCTCATGATACTGTAAGGATTAAGTTAGGATACCAAGGGATCTCCAAACACTGGTTTCTATACATGTATTGAATTCTACAACTGCTGGCATTGCTTTAGCACACATTATACATGACAACTGTGCTTCAGTATTTCCCAGGTTAAAATCTGATCCTGGCATTTCATTTCCTTTTCCTTGCTGTACAAAACAACAAAGGTGAGCAGCACAGGGGCTGCAAACCCAGCAGTGACTCCAGGAAAGGATATCAGGGGCAGGTTTCCTCCTCTTGTCTGGGATAGGAACTGGATCATTTGGTCGCCGTCTCAGTTTCCTCGTCATAATGGGCTTCACTTCCATTGAATCTGCAGAGAAATGAAGTTGGACAGCTGATAAGGCCAGAGAGAAAGGAGTAAGCAGCAGCAGCTTTCTATACAAGGCACAGGGAAAATAATCTTTCCTCTTTCATTCAGCAAATTGGATTTTTTTTTGTGTGTGTGTGTGCTAGCTTCCAGCATGGAAGTGCTGACAGTGAATCCAAGTTCTCTCCCACCAGGTCACTGCTGCAATGCCATGGTTACAGCTGTTCCAGGTACAGATAAGCAGCACAATGATGCTACAAGGATTCAGGGTAAATTCCTTTCATGCTCACCCTATCTGCTTGGGAACAGATTTAAAAGGCCAAACTGATGGAGTTCTTTCCCAGCCCAAGTCAGATCATTAATAGCATGTAAAACGTCAGCTACAAATCAATTGCTCTCTCATCTTCAAGGCAGAAAAACAGCTTTGTCAAAAGATTAGAGAACATTTCTGCATTGAAGACTGATACAAGTCTGCTGGAGTGATTTCAAACAAACAGTATTTAAATTCAGATTACCTAAGAATCGTTAATGAAATGAGTCTAATTAATAACACACAGAGCAGCAGCTGACAGAAAGTAAACTGCAGCATGTGCACTGGGGAAAAAGAAGAAAGTATGTTAAAAACTTAAATACCAGTCTCATCACCAAATAATTATCTGAACTTCAGTTTGTCCAAATGGCTACAGATAACCTTTACTGAACAACTCCACTAAACTCTCACAACTCACTCCTTAATTCATCAAGATATGTTGAATTGGCAGCCAAGAGGCCACACCATGAATGCCAAACATCATCCCACCCCCCTTTCTCTGTGCTGAGATTTATTGGCTCATCTCCAAGCACCCCTGGATCACCCCCTGGGAAACACTTCCATCTGGGAAGCCCCTTGGGCACCCACTAGACACAAAAACCTTGACCAGCTCTGCATGTGCAAAACACAGCAAATTCCTTCTCTCCTCATCTCAAGGGTGAACAAGGATGACCATGAGACCAGATTTCATAAATAAATAAAAAGTTACCAGGGAAACAGCATAGCTCAAGATGCTTTCCAGTCCACATCAGCTCTAAGCGTTTATATTAAGCCAAGAGCACCATTTAATACACCAAAACAGGGTTTAATTCTCATTTCTGAGTATTAACTACATTATTAGTTAATATAAAACCTGTAGATACTATGCAAGTGTCATGGTTTGGCCATATATATGGGTGTAACTCATGGACAGGCCTCAGCAACAAAACCACACTATCAGTCCATGAAGTGAGGGAGCTGCTCACAAAGAACATCATTATAAAACCTGTAGATACTATGCAAGAAATATATGAAGGGTGTAACTCATGGACAGGCCTCAGCAACAAAACCACACTATCAGTCCATGAAGTGAGGGAGCTGCTCACAAAGAACATCAAATCAGACTTTTGGTTCAGTCCCACAGAACAGAATTCTACAGGAATAATTAACTCCTGAATTAGCTCCCCTGTGTCCACTGCCACAGAGCACTGCAAGGCACCAGGGGTACCAACTGTCTCAAAAAATCTGTCCATTTAATTTTCTAGAGCTTGGACACAAATGTAACCCACAAATCATTGTTTTCTGGCTTTAAGCAGCAGATCTCAACCTTTATTGTTTGGCTTTCAACTACCTGACCACCCACTCCTGCAGCAAGGAAAGGGCACAGCTCTACAAGCTGGCATCACTGGTTAGGTCAGTGCTGTGACATATCTCAATAGTTTTACTGCTACATCAGGGAACCAAAGCAGCCTCTCTCCCTGAATAAAAGCAAGCCCATCATCCCCTCTGCTGCTCCACTGGCACTGCTTGATTCACCTGTCAACAACTCACTGAATTTTGAGCTGCTTTCTCCATTAAAAGGCCATCAATTGGTGCTCTGCCCCTGTTGGCATTTCCCACCAGCTGTGTAACCAGCACTGAATCTTTGCAGCTCTTTTCCTAAGCAGGAGCAGAATGGATAACACAAATGACAGGTGCTTATCTTTACCTCCTGTTAATTCCATGGTTAGCTTTTCATTCTCAATCATCTTCTTCTTCTCTTCCAACTCTGCTATCAGATTCTCCTTAAGCTCAATTTTCTTATCTTCAAACTCCTTTGCTGCTGCTTTCTTTTCCTTCACATAATTTTTCTCCACCTGATCTGTCTAAGGCAAACCCGAGGAGCAAGAAGGTTAATTAAGGACTCAAGTTAATGATATTTCAACAGCTTTTCAAATGCTTTATTGATCAGCTTTTCAGTTCACAACTGGCCCAAGTTCTAAAGATTATCAATATTTGTAATCTATAGAAAAACATCAAAATATCACTTAGTGCTATTCCATTGTCAAATTAATGATTTATAAAAATACATTTTAATGTTGCACAAAAAATCAAGTCCCTAGCAGAGAGCTCTGCTGATTTATAAACAGCACTTACCACCTTAAACACCCCTTTTTTGACCAGCCCAATGCATAGCCAGATACAAGAGCCCAATAGCAAATATTTAACTCTGTTTTAACAACAAAGTGCAGAAGTTACTTGAGGTAATAGCAGCAGTAAGCTCTACTACATCTCAAGTGCAACAAGGCAGCCAGAGGAAGGAAATTTCTCTAAGCCTTCTGGGAAAACAAGCCCAAATACTGGCTGATGAAACAAGGTTTGTGCCTCTTCCATCTAATTAATGCATATTTTTGATAAATTAAGAGTACTTACTTCCAGCTGCAGGAACAGTTCTGAAACACAAGAAAGACTTAATGAATTACCTTCAAAGCTACACAAAATTACTTCCTTAACATTTTAAGCCATTGAATACTGCAGCCAAGGCAGGCACTGAAGCAAATAATTTGTGTACTTATCCAATCTCTGCTCTGACTTCACAGCTTTATGCTGAAAATAAAGTGACTATGAAAACGTTCCACAAAAATACACTGTTACTAGAGTTTTTTTTTACAGATTGTCACCTCACTGAAAAGCTTCCACTATTCCACATTACTCAGTTCACGCTGTAGTAGCAACACTGTACTACTTCATTATTTAAAAAAAAACACCAAAAACAGCCCCCCCCCCAAAAAAAATCCAGTAATAGATATACACCAAATATAAGAATGCTGCAATAAAAATCAAACTTTCTATTTGCAAAGCATGAAAGCAGCATTATGTAGATAATCAAATGCAGGTAAATGGAAACTGTTGGTTTAATAAACCTCAGCATGGCAAGGACAAACATAAAAGATCTTTATTCCTGTAGTGCAAGGCAGCTGCATTTTTTAATCATAAAATTCCAAGTGATCTCCACCTGCCCTCCTGTGGAAGAACTCTGCTGCTGCAGCACTGTTCGTGGCCAGCCAGAAATACCAGTTTGCACTGGGGCTTAATTTCATCAAAACAGCCCAGGCTTGTCAGGATGCAGCTCTAGTGCATATGAAAGGTCTTTTTGGAGGTCTTTCCCAACCTAAATCATCAGTGAAATTCATGCCAGGAGACAGGCTCCTGTTAACAAGAAGTTGCTCAAACCATTTCAGTTCCTCAAGGAAATCCTTTACCTTTCCCAGGCACTTCCAGAAATACAAAACTGCTTGTTTTTGCTAAAGGAGGAGCACCTGTATTTCCTATATCCACATAATGCCTTCTATAAAATGCCCTGCTTCAATATCCCAGGTAAGAACTACTGGAAAGGGAGGCAGAAAGAGAGAGGGCAAGCAGCTGGATCTGATTCCCAAGCCATTCCTCTGCAGCAACACAATAAAACCACCCAGAAGGACAAGCACTAGGCACTTAAAAAATTAACTTTGCTCCTGGAAACAGAGCAGTACCCAAAGTCCAGGCAGCCCACTCCGTGCCACAGCCATGCAGAACAACAGTTCCAGCAGCAAATGCTCTGTGTTCATTGTTCACAAACAGATCCTGGGGAAAGCATGTGCTCCTAACTTCCCACTCCTGCAAACTGAAGGATACAGGGCACCCAAAGGTTCAGCAAGGGCCACCAAACAACAAACCAAAGTAGGACACTGTGCGTTAGTATGGCTGTGTTCAAGGGTCTCAGGACCCTTGAGGGGAAGAGATGAGAATCTTGACTCCATGTTTCAGAAGGCTGATTTATTATATTATGATATTATGTTATATTAAAATGCTATACTAAAAAGAATAGAGAGAAAGGCTCCAGAGAGCTAGAAAGAAAAGGAATGAATAACAAAATCCTGTGACTGCTCACAGCCTCAACACAGGTGGCTGTCATTGGTCATCAAGTGAAAACAATTTCACATGCTGGGTAAACAATTCTCCAAATCACATTCCAAGGCAGCAAAACATAGAGAAGCTGAAGCTTCTCAGGAGAAAAGATCCTGGCAAAAGGATTTTTCATAAAATATGCCTGTGACAGGTTAGATAAAAATGAAATCATCATTTTACTTGTGCTGCTTTGTGGCCGCATTTCTCTTCACAGAGAAAAGCGAGGCACAACTTCCCAAGGATATTTTCTGGGAATCGCAGCCAGGACCCTCAGAGAAAAGAAGAAACAATTCTTATCTCATTTGCTGTGCCTGTGTTTGTGCAAAAGCAGAATGCAAGATGGAGATTGTTTCCCCAGAGTGATGGTGTTTGTTTCCTTGGCCTGTCAGGGCCAAGCGTGGGTGTGTGTCGGGACTGTCGGTGACAGCCACGAGATCCTGGGCAGTGTGTGCAGAGATGAGTGCTTGGCAGATTCAGTTCAGATGTAATGTAATTTAGTGTAATATAGCATAATAAAGTAATTAATTAGCCTTCTGATATTCATGGAGTCATTCTCTCCCCTTTGTCAGGGTTGCCTTGAATCCTATACTGCTTCACATAAATGAAGACTAAAACTGTTTATCAGTCAGCAAACAATGCTGATCAAGGGAAGGAAATAATCAAGGTAGGTCCTGTCATGTTTGGTGGACTCTGAGAAAAACCTACAATGTACCCAAAGATCCCTCTGCTCCAGCAAGTTCCTTTGCTTTAAAGGAGGGAATTAACTCTTTTTTACTTCAGTGTTATACAAAACACACATTTAAGTTATTTGCAGTGTCTTACAGAGAAATTCCACTTACCTGCATTTCGTATCCTTTCTTTGTACTGCTGGTCCAACTTCTTCATCCTTTTCTGATATTCCTGAAGAGTACCTAGTGGAAATAAATTGTAGATTCCCACTGTATTTTTCCCCCAATTATTAAATATCCTCAAGGACTCAGCCCCACTCAAAGCACATTCCCTGCTTTTGTAAAAAGTGGATTACTCCTTTTAAAAAGTGTTTTAGCATACAGGCTTAACTACAAGTGGAGGTAAGATGAAGAAAAGATGGGAAGCAGCTGACATTTTAAACTCAGCAGCACAGCTGAGAGCCAGCATGCAGTGAAAGATGCTGCTCCCATCTTTCAGAGCCCCCATCCTTCTAGGACATTTGAAAAGTGCTGAAAATAAAAACCAAAGCTACTCTTCTAAGCTTACCTTCCTGCAGCTGCTGTAACTGCCTCTTCAGAGATGCCAGTTTGTCCTGATACATCCTGCAAACACAGCAGGAAACTTTAAACACCAAGCACACATTGTTTATTCCACCATCTCTTGAGGTTACATGTTTACACAGAATCAAAAACTTTTCAGAACTTCAGGGAACAAATTAACTACAAACTTAAAGAATTTTGTTCCCATGAAAGGTTCTCATTCTGTCTTAAAAATGGGTTTAAAATTTGAGATAAAATAGGATTTTTTTTGTTGTTGTTGAAACCTAAAATGACATTTAGATCTACAAACACCAGAAACTTTACAGCAGAATCATTCTTGCACTGTGTCAAGTTTTATTACCTGTGTATTAGCTCCCCACATTATTTTAAAAAAACACTGAAGTCTATTCCTGGTGCTGCTGCAAACCTGCATTTCTTTTACCACACATCTGTGGTTTAACACTGGTCAAGCTTTCCTGACCTGTATAAAAACAGGTTTCTGCCAGTAAGCAAGAGCTCAAAATACTCCAAATGCTCCTACACACCATGGGCAGATTATTTCAAGTCTCCCAGAAGTCCATTTTTGGTTCAGGACTAGAATTTAATTGTCTAAGGTATTTGGATAAGCATCTGACTTTTCCTTAGCTTATCTAAAGCACAGCCTTTATTTTATTTGAAGGACCTGTCTGCAGCAGATCCATTTGCAGCTGATCCCAGAACTCATAATTATTTCTTTGCCCAAACAGCATCGGCCCTTAATTTCTTGAATTTATATAGAACAGAGAAAGTAACTGGGGAGAGCAGAAATACAAGTTATAGACTCATGAGCTGTATTATTTCTTTGCCCAAACAGCATCAGCCCTTAATTTCTTGAATTTATATAAACAGAGAAAGTAACTGGGGAGAGCAGAAATACAAGTTATAGACTCATGAGCTGTTCCACTGGGGTAAGCACTTAAAACACCCAATCTTGGCCCAAAACTTTGCCAATATTTAGGCAATAAACACCCCTAAACCCACAAATAAATAGAACATCACCTTACTTGTATTTGGAATGGGTTACTTACTGTTCTTTCATTTCTACAAAGTCCTCCTCCTCGTGCTTTGCCAGGTCTGTTTCACTGGCATCCTCAGTGTCTAAACAAGGCAAAAAACAACTTGTTAAAATGTAAAAAGTGTTAAACCCCACAAACTCAGTAGTAAATTATTTAAAAACAAGGAAACAGTCAAACAAAAAAGAAATCCCCAAACCTCAGGCAATTTAGCATCAAAGACAACCTGAGAGATGAATTCAGGAGGGAAATGACACATCTCATGTTCCTGCCACTGTGAGTTTTGCATGAGCAGCTTCAGCCTCAGCCTGGGAATTTCTTCTCATTTAAGATAAGGGGCTCTACATTAATACTCACACACAGGTGGTCCACAAACAGCCTCAGGACTCTGAAAGACATTTCACAAACCTGTCGCTGGAGTTCCACCCACTCGGAGCTGCTCGGGTTGACCACAAAGTCTCACCAAGACAGCAGTTACTGGCTGGGACCTGAACTTCTCACCTGTACCTCACTCAGCACTGCCATAAAGATAGCTACATTTTATAAACAGACACCATAAACTGTAAATGAAGTAAATCACTGTGGCGTTGCCAGTTTGCTGCTAAGGCTCTTCAGGCTTCTATTTGTAACATGTGGGTAGCCAAGAATCCAGTACCTTGCCAAAGAGGGGCAAGTGCCTCCAGACTTTACAGGGTACAGCTGAGAAATCTGAACCACAGCTAATTCCCTACACATAGCAGGAGGGCCCAGCCCCTTAAAGCAAATCTTTCTCAGATTATTATTAAACTACAAACAGTTTAAACTTAAGATAAAATTTAAAGCACCAAAAATAAACCAGGAAGTTTTTTTAACTGCAAGAAATATACTTCAATGTCTGGGCCACCACAAAGGACTTCCATACTCTGTTGGGAGAGCTCCCACTGACCCTGTCTCCCTCTGCACCTTAAACATCACCCCATCTTTAACCAGAGGGGATGGGGTGACAGGCACTGCCCAAGAGTCCTTCCACATCCCCTTTATCTGTCGTTTTATGCCCTCTGCACTCTTGGCTACCCAGGCTTTTTACTTAATTTCCTCTTCTCCGCTGCTCCCTGCACTGTCACATTCTCCTGCACTGCTAAACTTCTGTGCACACCTTCTCCTCCCTCAGCTGCGTCCTTCCCCCCTCACACCACGGAAACAGAACACCACACTGGATTTCTCCGCTGTTGTCGCTCTGCTGTCCCGCTCGGCACTGCCCCGTGTCCCACTGTGCCCCGCTCGCCCGGGAAGCCACGGCTCCGCGGGTTTCCCTTCCAGGAGAACCGCTGCACCCTGACAGGTCCTTGTTTCCCTCGGCTGTTCTCGCCGCCCGAACCCTCGCAGCCCCCAGCCCTTCCCCAGACACCGTGCGGAGCGCTCCCCTCCACCCTCCAGCCCAGGAGAGCCCCGCTCCACGCCCCCGTCCCGGCCCGTCCCCGGGCACCAACCCGCCCGCTCCCCACACACCCTCGTCGGAGTCGCGGGCCCGGGCGCTCCGCTCGCCGTCCTCCTCCTCGGCGCTCTCCAGCTCCTCCTCCTCGTAGTAGTCGGGCGCGGGGGCCATGGCGGGGGCGGGCGGCCCCGGCGGGGCTGCGGGCGGCGCGGACACGAGCCCGGCCGCGCTCCGCTTCCGGGCGGCGCCGGCGCCGCCGCGCCCCCGCCCGGCCAACGCGGGCCCTGCGGGTCGGAGGGTTGCGGGTTCGAGTCCCGGCCCCGCCCGGTGCGTGGCACGGGGCTGGACTGTGCTGGCGGTGGGGTTTAACTCCTCAGCGCGTTGTGGCCACCTGGGCTCGTGTTCGTGGACCAGGCTCTGCTCAGAGCCGCCAAGAGATAGGACGAAGGCAACGAGCAGAAACATGGACGGGAAGTTCCACCTAGAGATGAGGAAGAGCTTCTTCACTGTGCAGTGACCGAGCAGCGAACACAGACCAAAGAGGCTGTGGAGTCTCCCTCTCTGGGGATATTCTGGGCACAATCCTGTGCCTCGTGCTCTGGGATGACCCTGCTAGAGCAGATGATCCCACTGTGATCCCTTCCAACCTGGCCCATTCTGTGACGCACAGAGCAGGACCTTGCCTCAGTGGGGACAGACTCATTAGGACACTTGTACTCTTATGAATTTTATTATATTTTAATAGAGAAATTACTTCCCTGCTCCTCCCGGCAGAGCCCCTCCAGAGAGAGCACTGTGATCTCACCCAGGTGAATCAGGTGCCTCGTGCCAGTGAACAGCAGCTTTTGCAGAACACGTGCCTCCCATCTGCCAGGAACTGGTCATCCTCCTGACTGAGCACTGCTACAAAATTAAGGATCAAGACACATATTCTGTGGTGAGAGTCCTATGCAGGATCCCACTCCCATCTGAAAATGCCTCACAGTGGTTTTTCAGTCTAAATATCTCATGTATCTTATTTCTGCAGCGCTAATTCGCCTGGGAACGGCTAATTAATCTCATCACCTCCAGCACAGCCACTCTAATCGCTCACCTTCAGCTGGGAGGTGCATTCCTCACATGCACAGCTTATTGACTCACCGAGGCACTACAAACACCTCACCGAGGGGAAGGAAATGGGTTTGATGTGAAGCACTGAGCTCCGAAGCCTGCAGCGCCTCTGCGAACCCGCCGGGCCGGGCGCTCAGCGCCCAGAGCAGCACCGGGCCGGTCACACCGTGCTCTGAAAGGGGCGGCAAGAACGCAGCGCAGCCGCCCGGCTTCCCTGCCGACCGCCCCAAAGGTCTGTTTGCCCAGACTGACAATTTTTAACTCGGAACACCCATGCCAAGTATGCTCCGTGCCTCTTTCCTTAAGTCAATATTGCCTCTAACAGGGGACCAGGCTGAGGCACGGCCAAAAGTCGGCACCGCCCCTCAAGCAGCCCCCACAAGTTCAGGGAGCGTTTTTGTCTCGGGGCAGAGGCACCACCAGAGCTGCTCGGCACCTCTCCATTCCCGAGGAGTGCCGTGGGTTATCAGCGCGCTGGAAACCCCTCCTTTTCCCTTGTCCCGCTCAGGCTGGCACGGCTGCCCCGGGGTGAGCAGGAAAGGGCGTGGTGGCGGCTGCCACATCGCATGAGCCGCCTGCTGCCCTCGGCTCTGTGCCCTCCCCACACTCCCACCTGGCTCCAGCTCCTCAAATCACCCCCCAAATCACCCCTCAAAGCCAGCCGCTCGCTGAGCTAAAAACAGAAACGGGACCGCGGGACTCAAGAGCTAAGCAGAGCCCCCTCGGAGCTTTACAAACACCGGTATTTCCCCTTTCTCCCCCATTTCCTGCCTGTATCTGTTCCATCTGTCCACACGCTCGGCTCACCAGCTCCCCTGCCAGCCGCGTTTGTGCTGCCGGGGACACCAAACCAGTTCTAAGCGTGCCCGAACCGCAGCAGCGCTGCCAAGGATCAGCAGCCGTGCCCCACTGCTGCCTCAGCACGTCCTGCTCGGAGCTCTGCCCTCCCAGCACAGCCCTTCACACACCGGGCAGGTGCAGGCACCGACACGAGGGCACAGCACCCCCAGAGCAGGAGCCAGCGGGTAAAAAAACCTGCAAACTGCTGCTGATGCACAGCTCTTTTAGCTCATTCTGTGGTCAACACTGGGATCTCAAAGCTGTTGCTCCCTCCGTGCTAATTCCTCCTGGTTAATAGGAGCCTGCTGGAGACACCCTGTGCTGTCATCTCTCAGGCATTCAGTGGGAACCCGAGGGAGGAGGCTCAGCTTTAAGGAATGCTATGTTTCCCTTACAAACGCAGAAACTTAACTGTCTCCGCCCCAAGGAGCCGTCAGGGAAAGTGTAAAGTTCCCTGTCGAGCTGTTGCTCTTGGCTCGTGCTTCCATCAGAGCTGTGCTTGTCACAACTCACTCAGTGCTTTGTACACACTCGGTTTGGGGAGAGGTCTCTGCCTCCTGCTTGCTCAGCACCAGCTTTTCACAGAGCTGCTGGCAGATGAGTCGTGCTCGCTCTGCTCTTCTTTCCACTCGTAAGAAAGAGAGGGAAAAACGGGTTATGGAGCTCAGCTTATAAACAGGAAACTCACTGTGTGACATTACCCGGCTACATTGAGAAGGGCTGTATTGTACCTTGGCCTCTGAGGCACAGGACACACCAACACCCCTCACCTGGGACTCAGGGCTCTCAGGTTCCTGCACCTGTGGTTTCACACAGCTCTCTGAGGATGGTTCTGGAAGCCTGAAAGGGGAACAGCTGTCAGGAGCAAGTTGGCAGAATGAGGCTGCATGAGGTACTGGCAGATAAAGCTCTGCTCCTGCAGTTTTATTTAGAAAAATGAAGTAATTAACCCCCCTGTCAAATAAGTCTCTACAACTAAGAACTGTTTACATTCAGAGGCTGTGGGGAGCCACCAAGTGTGGCAGAAACAGCACGAACTCACCTTGCCCTGCCTCTGCTCTGAGCAATTCCTAAGCCAGAGCTCTCCACCCCTGCTACAGCTCATTCTCCTTTGGGGCTTTGCTGCCAAATCACGGCTGCTCCTTTTGGGTACAGGGCCTCTTCCTGCCCCAGGGTCCCTGTCAGGGCTCCCCCAGCACGGGATTGAAGACTCAGAGCTGCCTTTTTACTGCCCCAAGCACTGTCCCCTCACACAGCAGCTGGTTGTGGGCCCCAGCACCCGCACACCTGAGAGCACTACAGACCCTGGCAATGCACACAAACACTGAACTAATAATGGGCCCTGACACCCCTCCACACACACACCCGAGCCTGACATGGCCCCAACATCCCTTCCTCATACTGGGACCACTGCAGACCGCACCATCCCGCTCCCCTCACCGGCACACACCGAGGTTACCACAGCGCTCGGCCCCGCACCCCCTGAGACCACTACGGGTCCACAAGTCCCTCACACACACACCCAAACGTGCTGCGGGCACCCCCGCGCACACCTGAGACCACTGTGGGCCCTAAGAGCCCTCACGCACCGCCGAGCCCCGCGGGGCGCGGCCGCCATCGCCGCCCTCACGCCGCTCCCTCCGGCCCCCGCGCAGGCGGCTCAGCCGCGCGCCGATGCCGCTGCGCTCGGCCAGGCGGCGCCGCTCAGCGGCCCGGCCCGAGCTGCCAGGCGCAGTAGCCGAGCGCCGAGCGGGGCCGGGCAGGAAGCGGCGGTGACGGGCACGGCCCGGCGGACACGCTCCGTCCCGCTCTCCTCCTCCTGCTGCTCCTCCTGCTCCGCGTTCCTCCCCGCCCGGGCCCCGCGGACGTGGCCCGCTGCCGCCGGCCGGCACCAGGTGAGGCACGGGCAGAGGGAGCGGCGGCGCTGCCAGGCGGGTCCCGGCGGGGCGCGGAGGGCAGGGGGCAGCGCTGGGGCTGGCAGCGCGCTCGGGGCTGGGGAGGGCACTTATCCGCGCTCGGGGCTTGTAAAGGCATTTATCCGCGTTCGGCGCTTGTAAAGGCACTTGTCGGCGTTTGCGGCTGCGGAAGGCACTTTGCGGGGCTCGGCTGTCCCGGGCTGTCCCAGGCGGGGCTGCTCGGGGCCGGGCAGCTCCGGCGGGCTGCGGGCTCCGAGGGAGCCCGGCCGGGGCAGCTGCCCCCACCTCGTGCCGGGGCACCGGGAACAGCCGCTCCTCCTTTCCCCGCTCCCCGTGCCTGCCCGTGCGCCGGGAGCTGTCCCCGGGAGCTCTCTGGAAGTCGGAGCTCCAGCCCGAGCGGACGGGAACGCCCCGGGAGGAGCGGAGGGAGCGGGCGGCTGCCTTCACCTGGAGCCGGGCTCGGCTCGGGAGAGCGGCGCTGCTCCGCTGGGCTTACCCTGAGCCCTCGGAGCCAGAACCCCGGCCGGGAGGGAGCTGCGTTCCTGTCAGCTCTGAGCGGAGTTGGGAGCGCTGACGTCGGTGTGGTGCGAGCAGATGTCTCTGTCCTGTTAATGACACAGAGAAATGGTTTGCTGTAGGTGCTGGATGCCATCGAGCAGCACTCGTGCTTGCGTGGGAAGGAGAAGGAAGGAGGACACGAGGCAAGTACTAAGCCTTCAGAATTTTGTTTTATAAACACATCTCCTCGTGTCTCCTCACCCCCCTTCCCCAGGAACGTGAGCGGAATGAATTCCCTAATGCTACAACTATGGCAGTTCTAAACTTCAGTGGCCACTGAGTAGCCCTGGTAGATTCCTGGTTTTCCCTGGTCGCTTCCTGAGCCTGGGCAGAAGTGAGCAGCTCTGAGCTGGGTTTGCTGTCCCCAGCTGGGCTGTTCTCCCCAGGGTGGGGGAGAAGCCCGTGGCACACTGCTCTGGGAGCTCTGTGGAATGCTGGGCTCACACAGTCCAGCAGCAGCTCCGTGTTTGTTTAGAAACAGCAAAGCGGGTGGTAGGCGGTGCTGGTTCGGTTGTGCCAGGAGGATTTGGAATCTCCCTGCCCACCTTTGTGCATAGTGATCCCCATAAGAAGGTGGAAGCAGTCAGGGCTCTGACTCCACGTGGATGCAGTTCCACAGAACACAGGGGGATTTCAAGTTGCTGGCTGAGGTTTGTGGTGCTTATGTTGTTTGAGAATAAGTGGGCTCCGGTCTGTTCCCCAAGGTCTGCTGACATCTTTTAGCAAATGTTTAGAATGCTGCAGTGCTGGCAGTGATGCAGCTTGTTTTGCCAGTGGTCATCACTTTGATGTATCCCATACCAGGTCTGTGAGAGGACACGTGTTGGTGTTTCTGTGTTGATGGACTGTTTGTGCAGAGAGAGAATACACCATGCTTGTCCTCTCTATGAGCTAAAAATTGGGTTATTTCTGGTGCGTAGCTATTTTTGTGTTCTCAGGGGGTAATATAACAACATAGGGCATGTTTTAAATGTAAATACCTGTCTGCAATCTCTTTTAACACTGAGCTTCATAAGATATCTGACAATTCTTTCATGCACCCACAGTGAGGCTGCAAACTGTTCCTATCTACATAAATGTCTCATTTATCAAATCCAGATTTCTTATTTGCTGTTCAACTCATCATATAACTTCCTCTGGCTTCTGATTTGAGGAAACCTTGAGCTGCGTTGTTTCCATCCACCCTTTTCTGTATGAGAGCTTTCAGATTGCAAACTAATTCTTTTTTGTGTGTGTGTATTACTTACAGTGATTCTCTCTGAGCACTTCCCTATTACATTGTTGCATCATTATCAGTTAAAAGGGATCTTAGCAAGTCAAAGCTTTTGAAGATGAGGTATTTCTACTTGTGTGCATTCTAAACGTGGCTCTTGCATCAACAGGGTTTTACTGTTAGAATTGTTTTCCATAATGTGTTGCTGGATGGGGGAAACTTTTAGCAGGAATGAGCTCTCTTCCTTCTGAGTAACCTGCTGTTGTCTTTTAAAGGAAAAACCCAGTTTGAATGGAGCAGGGCTGGAGTTGCTGGGGAGCAGGGGAGGAGCAGGGGCAGGGCAGTGGTCAGTGAGTTTGGACCAGGAACACAGACTCGTTGTGTTCTCCTCTTACAAGTTTTTGTTCCATAGTGTTCTGCAGCCTCGTGGGATGCTGCAGCATCCAGGTTATGAGAAATGCCAGGGAAAGAGCTGTTTGTGGAACATATTACATTTTATTTTGTTGCTTTTGCACCAAAAAAAGGTGTCTAAGGTTAATGGTTTTAAATAGGAAATGCATTTTTTGTTTTAAGACAGAGCTCAGAGTCTTTTAACAGAACCCCTCTACAGTTCAGTCACAGCATTTGCACCCAACTGAGTTTGAATAAAAGTGCAGTTTTGGCATCAAAGGTGTTTAAAAAGTAGATTTCTGTAAAGTTCTGTTTCAGCACATGCTCAGCTTTATTAATAGACATGCTTTCATACATCAGGGAAAAATTCAAAAAGTGAACGCAAAAGAGTATTTTGTTTTATGCTTACTATTTTCAAACTACTTCCTCATTTGGAGGCCATTGATTAAACCAGAAGGATCTGCTTGCCCTTGGCTGTGTAATAAACATGATGCAATTGCCTGGTGCCTGCTTGGTCATCACTTCTTCCAGGGGCAGCTCAGTGAGTTTCCCTGACAGTCTTTTTATCACTCCCTGAAATCACTCTGGCAGCTTTGTTCTGATTTTCTGAGTGAAGTGTGTTTTAGAATGTATTGATCTGGTAAATTTAGGGTTCCCTCTGGGTAAAAAGAAGAAAATCTCCCTTCTGATTTTTACGTGTGCAGCACAGGTTGTGAATTTCATTGTGATCGTGTAGTGGGCATCACTTAAAAGTCATCACTGGCACTGTGTGCCAGGAACTCTCATCTGTGAGAGCCTCAGCTCCTCATTAAGGAGGAAAGTTGAAATAGAAATTAAAGTAAGTTAATTGGGCGTGGTCATCCATCTCTTAAGCTACTGAAGGATGTTGGATATCCGAGTTATTGATGGTATCGTGGCAGATTCTCAATTGTTATAAAGCCCCACTTCAGCATTAAGGAGCAATGTTCCTAACATGACATATTGCCCTTATTCTGTACAACTAAACCATGGGAATTAACTTCTAAAATCCCATTGGAAATATGAGAAATATATATTTTTAAAGACCAGTAGGTTTTGCTCTAATATTCAAGAAATCTGGAGTACTGCTAGTATTAATTTAAAAATTATTTTTCAATTTATTTAAATGAATTAAATACTAAAATTAGGTTGGCTAATAAGTTCTTATTCAGGATGGCAAAGTACACATTAAATTTGAGCACGTTGGAAGATTTCTTGTTCATATACTCATGTTTGTGTCACAAATTGTTAGTTTAATTTGTAAGGGCAGGGAAATTTCAAATTTAATATAGAGAGCTTACAAAACAAGTTTGTCTGAGTTGCTAATGAACTAGGCACTTATGCCCTTGGACAGGTAATAGCTTGATGTTGATGTAATTACTTTTTTCCCCCACCCTGAATATTAGGTCAAACTGGACTCTGGTTGATGTAGAATTTAATGACAGCAGTCATTCTGAGGGAGCCTGTGGTCACTCGTGTCCCTCCTGTGGTCACTCGTGTCCCTCCTTGGCTGCTAAAGACTTTCAAATAGGGACATTCTCCCAGTTTGGTCTCCATTTGTGCCTCCTCCTGCTGTCACTGTTAATTGTGATGATGGGTTACCTGAGAGCCCAAGGAATTCCTCAAAAGAAGGGCAAATGATGACCTTGGTGTTCCATGAGTTCGATTTTTGAGCAGGTTTTGTGATGCAGGTGATGTTGTCTTTGAGAAGAGAGAGAGAAAGCTGTTTTTAGGAAATTGTCACTCTGAGAGTGGAGATGTTAACCCAAAGTCCTGGATAAACTTCCACCTGCGTTCCCCTGGAGTTGAAAACACGCACATGGGTTTGGTTTGGATTTGTTACTTTTGTACAGAAAATACTTCCTGGGGAGTACCCCAGGATCCTGTGGTAGAACCTGGCACAGGGAGGAACAGATCTTGTATGCAGTGCATGTATTTCCACACATATCAAGCAGTTTAGGATGAAAGATGTTGGGTCTACCAGATAACATCAACATTTTGTGAGCAGGATGTCATTATTAGATTGGAACTGATGAATGTCAAACGTTGTGGTGAGTCTGTTTTTAGAGAGATGCAGACTGTGCTCGCTTTCTACATTAAACCTCATTTTCTCCTAATTTTTATGTGTGAGCTGTGATTCTGTTGCACAGAATCTGGCATAATATTGAGCAGATTTATTTAGTGTTGCCCTTGAACGTTGTGAGTGTTTAAGCCAGATTTACAGGAACACAGTCAGTGATGATTCATGTTGAGATGATGTTTTTCTCCCTTGTAATGGAACATATGGGACTACGTAGCATATGGTACCACTGAAAATTGTTAAATGTGGAGCACTGATTTATTACACAGCAAAAAGGGTTGGGGTTTTCAGTCTAACACTGAGCAGAAAGCTTGTAAACAGCTCTGGCTGTTGGTTTGTGTTGGATGTGCTACTGTGTTGTGTGGTAATTTCAAAGGATTCCTTTAAATGGCAACAGAATGCTTCCAAAAGTTGGGTGTCTGCCCTTTTGCTATGGTACAGTCTTGCTCTGTGGGACG